AGTGGGTGAGTCACTAAAAGAGTGCCAAAGAGGCCTCTTATCGCTAAGGCACATGAATGCAAGCCAAGAAAACAAAAGAACGGTTAGTGCAATTTGATAGTACACATAACACATTGGGAGCAATTAAGAAAAGAAATACAATAAAAAGCAAGTAAAAGGGGTGGAACCCCCTCCCTCGTGCCTAATGTGCTTAAAATAGGGTGAGACTGACTCTAACCTAGGAAAATTCTAATATGGATGCATGAGGCTGGGGTTCACTAATGCCTAGACTCGATAAAGCTTCGGTTCCCAAGCCTTCAGACCTAAAGGCAAAGGGTCATCACTCCCAGGGCCTTCGATCGGTGGCTCGAGTGATCCCTTAGGTAGCGCTATGGGCGCAGAGCACACCAGCCGCCTACCCAAGGCAATCGATCCTAATCCTACAAGGCGGTGTGGGATGGCGCCCACGAAAATACAAATAAAATGGGATAAAGCAAGTAAATATGCACGTATGAAGTGTTCCCCTAATTTGAGGGAAGGGGTTGAGAACCACGCGAGGCTCTAAAGGTGACACACCCCCTCCCAAATGCAATGCAAGCGCGAGATAAACAAGTAAACAACATCCAATCAACCAATCACACATACATGAGTGAGGGAATAGTTGGATACGCGCGCGAGGCAAAAGGCCCTAAAAATGGAAAATGCAAGCCTAATATCCAAATGCAATGCATAAAAAAGGTAGAAAAAGGGAAACGAATGGCTAAGTCAAATGCTTGGACCCACTTAGGAATTCCCCAGTGGAGTCGCCAACTGTCGCGCCCCACTTTTTGATAAAATGTGCGTGAATGTGTGATGTGTGGTGTGTAATGTGTGAACGTGTGCAAAATGAAAAGCAAAAGGCCATGGGACTTAGAATGCGACGATTTGGCCAAGTGAAGTTCAAAAGGGTTTTTTGTATCAAAAATGGAGTCGCCACTTGGTATAGAGTTAAGGTGTACCAAGTCACCCAAAAATGATTTTTGTTTTTGAATAAAAAAAAGTAAATAAACCCTTTTTGAGAACTTTTGAGTCTACGTAACCAAAAGAGGGATCGGGAGTCACATTTGACGAAGGGGAAGGCAAGGATAAAAATCCAAGGCACCCCTTCGACCTAGCCAAGGCTAGTTGCGTGACTTAAACCAATTTTTCCTAATTTTTCTACCCAAGGTATGTATCGCGTATTGGATATGTCTATATGAATGCAAAAACCTAGACCTAGGGGGATATGGGGGAAATTTCTCTTCAAAGGTTGAGTGGTGCCAATCACATTAATTGTGAAGCCCAACAATGATCCTTTTGGAGAGGTCACACCTAAACCTAAATGACGTAAAAAAAAATGAGTGGAATGCATGCCATGTGAAAGTGTGAGTTTGTGTGAAGTGAGAAAAATGATAAAAGTAATAAGATATAAGTGAAGGTGTGCAAATGTAGATGAAAGTACTCGTGTGCGAGTGAAGATAAAAATGTTCATGTGCAAGTGAAGATAAAAAAGTGTTCGCGTGCAAGTGAAGATAAAAAGTATTCGTGTGCAAGTGAAAGTAATAAAAAGGTGTATGTGTGCAAATGAGACAAAAGTGAAAGTGTAATGATAGAGTGGATTGAGAATGCATGAGCCTAGGGAATTCATGCATATTGGGTACGGGGAGACCTAAATCGTGACTCAATTTGCCCTTTTATAGAGAGGATACAAGCGTGCTAAGGCTTTAGGAAAAGCCACACTCGTCTATATCCCATATTTAAGGGGACTCTCACGCAAATGTACCCTAACTAGCATGAGATGCAAAAAATCCTAAAATGAGGGAAAAGGGGCTCGAGGAGCATGCCAAATGATAAAACTAAGAAAAATGCATGACATGTAGTGAACATGCAAATATGCACTAACAAAAAGGGATGGCCTAATGAGCCACAACTAGCATTGGACTAGTGTGGTGGCGTACATTCATCCATTCCATTCATTCATGGTTATGAAAGCAAGTAGACATGCCAAAACGCTCGTAAACACGTAGCACGTAGCACTTAGCATGCTCGACTAGATGCAAGAGCCTACTAAAGCAATTAAACATGTAGCAACAAAAACAAGCAACCAAGGGGAAGGGGAAATGGACCAGATGCTCTCCGAGCGCTACCTATTACAAGCCAAGAGGTGTACACATACCCCATAAAAGCATAAAAGGGAAAGGGTGAATGGACCAGATGCTCTCCGAGCACTATCTATTACAAGCCAAGAGGTGTACACATACCCCATGAAAACTTAAATAAAAGTAAAAGTAAGTAAACGCATGCAAGGAGGTAAGGAAAGCGAAGTAGACAGGCATATTCACATAACACGTAGGAGCACATAGGAAAAATAAAATCAAGAATATAGAAGTTACCTCCCTTGCAATGGAAATCGAGTAGATGAGATATTAGCTTCAAAACAATAAAAAGGTCAAGGTACCAATTTATTTGGCAAAATCACAAAGGATGGAAAATAAGCATGAATTTGAATCAATTAAATCATGTAGACAATTCACATTTAAGAAGTCAAGAGAAGAAGGGACTTAATTGCAAAAATGAACAAAGTTTTGGGGTCAAAATTAAAGAAAAATAAAGTTCAGGGACCTATTTGCAATTAATTAAGGACCGAATTGAAAGAAGTTGAAAATGTCCAGGGCCACAGTACGATTAAGGAGAAATTCAGGGACTGATTTGCAAAAACGTTTTCTGGTTTCCTAATGGATCAGGCCATTGGGCCATATTTCCTTATTTGCTTGGGCCAAAACATTCCAGGCCCAATCGGAAATCCAAAACAAAAGGGTATGGGCCATTTTCACCTTTCTTGGGCCAAGATCACTTGGCCCAATCGGAAGTCCAAGGAAAAACAAGTGGGCTAGTATATTATTTTAGCCCAAAAATTAGCCAACCAAAACACATGGGCCACGACCCTCTAGCCCAAGCCAAAAACCCAAAAATGAATTGAGCCCTCTTACACAAACCCAACTAAATATCATTAGCCAAACATAAGTCTAAGCCCAACAAGATAACAAATCAACTAAAATTATTTAAGCCACAATTATGATCTAAAACCCAAAATTAATTTAGTTAAAGGACTACTCATGCTTATTAGAAGATGATTTAAAATCTAAAAGGGAGAAACAAGTTCACTTTTCCAATTTTCCGGGTTAATTCAGAACAAGGGGGAATTTGAGAGGCTCAATCACAACAAAAATAGGGATCTAGTTGAAAGAATTATGAACATTTTGGGGTCAAATTATGAAGTTTTAAAAAAACTGTGGGGAGCAAATTACAGGAAAAAAAAAAAGGAAATCATGGGAATGAGATTACAGATTATACAAATAATCATTTTTCCAAACGGGCAAATGGGAGTTGCCATCTTCATCTTTCTTTTGCGGACGAATGATCACCAAAGAATCAGCAAATTTCAACCCAAAGCATAAAACTCACTCAAACTGTTCCTCAAGCCAATTTCATGCCGTCAATTCGAATCCATACAAAAGAAAAAGCAGAGCCCGAAAAGGAAAACAGAGACAGTCGCATGCCAATGTATCAAGATCAAAATTCTTCTTTCTACCCTAGAAATCAATTATTATGTTCTGAAACAACATTGAAATTGTTGTTCGTTTGTTTCTTCACATGCGCAAATGCAGACAAATCGCTTTTCCGAGTATAACATTCAATTGGTCATTTCATCGAACACCAACTGGGCATCAAAAATTTCACTGATTTTTGCTCAATCGATATTATAATTAGCCAAAATACTATCAGCAACCCAAGAGACACATTCCAATCAACATACAGCATACGTGTATTCCAAAAGGACATGAAGAATCGACAAACAAAAATTGAGACGCCAACCTCACGGCAAATATATTTTGACAAAAGACTGAAATGTAAATGGATAGGTTACCTCACGATGGCCTCTAACAGTGGTTCCTCTGATACAGGTTTGAGTGATTTTAGGCAGCGGGCGCCACGGCTTCAACTCCCTTCTTCTCCACCTTTTAGTTGGCTTTACTTCCTGGGTGGCAGCTGCCGATGCCGCGGCTTTGGATGCTGGTGGCAGCTTTCTTTTCACCGGTATAATTGCAAGCTGTGATCGAGAGGGTGGAATCTTGTAAAGGGCCTTGACTTTCACCCTCACAGCTGCAGTGGTTTCGATGGAAGTTGCGCGCGGTGGTGGCAATGGCAGAAGGCGTGGGGGAGAGAGAGGAGATTTGGGGTGGGCGGCGGTGCGCGAAAAGGAAAAAAAGAAGAAAACAGAGGCAGCCTCCTCTGTTTTTCTTGCTTCTTCCCAGACGCCTGAAGCTTTCCTTTGGCCCTTTCCTTAGTTTTTCATTTCTGTCCGAAGCCTTGCTCCTTCAGCCGTAGCTTTTCTCTCGGTTTCTGGCCTCACCCGAAAACTCTCCCCTCTTCTCCAGATTTTTCCCCTTAGCCGCCCTCCATTTCCTCTCTAATTGGCACCCTCTGTTTTTTTTTGCTTCTTAGCCCCCTTTTGTTTTTCTTGTCTCAGCCGTAGCTCCCTTCTCAGACGAAACTCCCCTGCCTCACGAAGCTCTCCCTTTTTTTCAGCCGCCCCTCTCTGTTTTTTCATTTTCATTTTCGGTTTTTGCCCGTAACCTCCCCTGTTTTTTCCTTGCTCTGTATTCTTTTCTTTCCCTCGTCCGTTGCCTTAGACTCCAGTCCCCTCCTTTGTTTTGCGGCTCCCTTTCCTTTTAAGGCACCTCCCCTAAAGAAAAACTAAACCTAAGATGAAAGGCCAAGATCTCATCCACCAAAATAGGCTTATGTGCAAAAACAAAAAAATAAAATAAGATAAAGTAAAACCCTAACATCGAAACAACATTAAATTGAAAATTAAATGATTAAAGTTTAATTAAATGATAAAATGACTTAAAAAATAAAAATAAAAATAAAAATGAAATTAATCAAAAATAGAAATAATAACAAACGAAACTCCTTAAAAATTTGGTGTCTACAGCTAACTAGTCCATTCCCAATATAACGTCGTACCTCTTAATAGCTAAACTTATAAGATTCTCCAATAGCTTCCTCTCTCCTACCCAAATTTCACAATTAGCATACATCATACTAGTGATCAAACGTTGGTCCCCCGTAGGAGTACTAACTTCCAAGTCATAAGGCAAGCTAACAGATTTTATATCAATTCCGCACATAAAATAGGGGTTAACAAAGGAATGGGCAGCACAGGGGTCTATCAAAATCCTTGCTAGATGATGGAAGACAGGGATCGTACCTTCCACGATCTCAGATGAGTCAGGGACTTGGCATTGCTCAAGGGAGTACACCCGAGCTGGCACCTTAGGTCTCGTCCCTTCCACCTTGGATTGCCCGGAATTGGCCTTTGATGATTGTGAAGTCACTCTCGCTTCTCGAGGTAAAACCGGACAGTTAGCAATTTGATGCTCCGCACTCCCACAGCGTAAGCATTTCCTTTCCTTCCTCCAGCAGTTGTACTCCTTGTGGTTTGGTTTCCCACAATATCTATAAGGACCCTGGGATACAAAGGCTGAGCTTTCCTGTGAGGCACTTCTCTGTTGGCCTCGTCCAACGGGACCAGCCCTTGGCGAGGTTCCTCTTGACATTCTCGGAAGTCTCACTCCTCCGGTCCCCCTTCCAGACTTGGGAGGGTTACCTTTATCACCTTACCCTGAACTATTTCCAGGGAATCCTCTTTTCTTCACTTGAAAATTTCTAACTTGGAGTCTCGCATTTTCAACTCGTAATGCTTTTTCCACTGCCTCACTAAATGTATTAATCTGGGCTACCGCCAGATCCTTCTGAATTTTCACATTTAGCCCCTGAATAAATCGCCACACCCTCCTTTGCTCAGTTACAATAAGTTCAGGGGTGAACTTAGACAGTCGAGTAAATTGGCTCTCATACTCGGCCACAGTTTGAATTCTCTGGCGGAGCCTAATGAACTCGTCCTCCTTCTTTTCCTGAACTAAGGGCGGAAAATACTTAGCGTTAAACTCCCTCATGAAATTTATCCACGTCCTTGGCGTTAGCTCTCTTTCCCATTTTGTTCGAATAACGTTCCACCAAGAACGGGCGGCCCCCTCCAGTTGGAAGACAGCAAAAGTAACCTATCTCTCCTCCGTATAGTGTAAAGCCACAAATATATCTATCATCTTCTCCAACCACATTTCAGTCACATCTGGATCTGGTCCTCCCAGGAATTTTGGTGGGAAGAACTTTTGGAATCTTTCGAGGGCTCTGTCCTCACCCTCTATATGATTGCCAGGGTTTCTAGATTGATACACAGGATGTTGGCCTTGGTGTTTCACTACGTGGGCCAACAGATCAGTCATTCGCTGAATAGCAGCGGCTACTTGACCATTAGGGTTGACCCTAGGTTCAGGGTTTGGTTTAGGCGTGGGTTCCCGATTACCCCCTTCAGTCGAGGGTTGCCTAATTCCGCGGCCGCGGCCTCGTCCACTACGAGTACCCTCCATTGATTTACCCAATCTAGGGTCGAAACACAAATATGATGTCAAAGCAATATATAGACATGAACAAATGAACACATAGATAACAGCATATATACATATAACACACAAATGTATCCAACAAGTCATACAGTAGCAGTCAGTCAAATATATACAAAAGTAATTCCATGAAAGTAGTGGGGTCAACCAAAAGTACAATGTACAACTTAGGTCCAAAAGTGCAAAACAGCTAACTAAGAGCTTTCCCTAGGTACCCCTCGCACGGGATCAAAATATGGCCCAAGGAACTCTAACTTAGTTCTCAACTGAGCCAACCGACTCCTCCCCAGAACTAGAGCTAGGGGCGCCTCCCTCGCTTGGAGCTCCGTCGCCTGGAACTCCCCCTGACACATTAGCGCCAATCACTCCCTGGATTAGCGCCTCACACTCGTTTATAATACCTCCGGACCGATCCCTAACCTCTCGGACCACCCTAGTGAGACGGTCGTTGGCTACGTGTAACTGATCTCTAAGGGCGTTCGTCCGCTCTTGCTCCATGGCTATGTCCTCCTAGAGCTCCCGAATTCGATTCGCTTGCATCCTCATGATGCCCCTCACACGCAGCATCTCAGTGTGATCTCCGGCGGCGGCATGCCTGAGCCTTTTCCTCTCATCTAATACCGCCATGACCACATGATCAGCATAGGAGTAATGCTGGCAACGGCTACAGCGCCTAGTCCGACTGGCCGTACTCCAGCGCCGAATCGGTCCTCCGGGTCTCTCCTCGTAATCGACGACACGAAAATGCCTCCGAGGCGGCTCACCTCCGCTCCCACTAGCTCCGTCCATGACCTATAAGGATATCCACAGTTTACAACTTATACAGAGTAATAACACTTAAACACACCCTAACACAATCCCCAAAAGATCTAAGAATCAGGTTTCGGGTTCGTCCAGGTTATTTCTAACCTAGACTTTGATATCAACTGTGACAGCCCCACCTTCCCCTAGAACGTACCCTAAGGGTTAGCGGACTGCTTGCTCAGCTCTCGCCAGGACTACTAAACTGAACACACGGTTGTCAAATCATATAGTGCAATCGCATGTCGAATATACGCTTCCATAGGCACGACACAAAACGAAAAAAAAAATGAAACTGGAAAACACCTGCCACAGGACTACAATCTGGCCAGATTGGAGGCAGAGGCTGAACAAAAATGGAACTCAAAATCCCCTGTCAATCCGGCCAGCTATTCGGCCAAGATCCGGCAGGATTCTCTTCCCGCCAAAATTTTTTTCTTTCTTTGTTCAAATTCCACACTCGTCCGAAATCCAATCAAGAACAAGTAAACTTTATATAACATTAGAAAAGGTACAATACCAAGGAAATATATACCACATAAACATGATAAACACTTTTATATACACACATTGGTAAAATTGCAAATCAAAAGGGAACATTGGATCGAAATACATTTAGGGTTTCCAACTACCGAGGAGCTATACAAAAGAACTAAAGAATATCTAAGTAGCTCAACTCGCTTCTCAAAATCATGATTTCCAAAAGTGGTTCCTGTAAGGAAAACAAAGATAACGAGGGTGAGTTTATGCCATTGAGTTACCAACAAGTCACACGTCCAAGATTCACAAGTACATTCATACTCAATTATACATGGCCAGTAACCACAGAAGAAAAAGCATCACAAGGCAACTAGAAGTAAAAAGATACAGTCGGCTCTCAAGAGCCAAATCCCTCTTTTGCAGTACTTGATCTCAATCTCGTTGAGACTCCGTCAACATTCGAAGAAACGAACCTGACCGTAGATCCCACTTTACACCAAGTACCTTCCACCAAACATTCCCCTTACTGGGCCCGAACACCTCACAGAAACAGAGAGGGTAATACTCGAGTATACCACAAAGTCGAGGAGATAACACTCCACTCGACAAACAGTAAACCCATGGTTCGTTATCTAATCGACCAGGCCTTTGCCGGCTCGACTCAATTACGACCGCTGAGGTTTGAGCTCAGATATCAGAGTAAAGTCATTGGACACTTGCCCTAAATGACATCAAACCATGCACAAGTAACCAATTCACAGTTATACAGTAATCAGTCACACAGGTAAGAGAACGAGAGTGATAAAGTACACTCTCGTCTCATGCACAGAACTCACAGTCATTCAGTCCAAAGATTCAAGTACAAATAACCATTTAAGCATTAAATCATGCAATGGTACACTTACCAGCTCAAGTAAAGTAAATTCACAAATTTCTGTCCAACTTGGGCCTTGGATCACCGGCACGTCCTAAAACAAGCAAGAAATAACAATTGAGACCCGAACACGAGTCGTATACTTATTCAATAAACTACTAATGCAAGACCAATATAGCTTGGAAAGGAAAATAAATAACATTTAGGGCTAAAAGCTTAAACAAGCCCAAAACCTTTCATTTCTGCCCAACCTCAACCTAAACTCAAAGGAACCCAATATCATCAACATTTGGATAGCATTTCTCCTAAAATTTCAGATTTTTCATCCTACAAACAACCATTTCAATTCATCCAAAACAACCACAAGCACACATACAAATTATAGGCTATTCAACACACCTCATTAGGGTTACAATACCCTTCAATCTTAGCCAAATAAGAGCTCAACAACCATGTCACGACCCCACCTCCCCCTAAGGCGAACCAGAGGGTTCGGCGGGCCGCCTGCCCAGCTCTCGCCGGGACTCAGTCGTTCACTACAATCCTCAATGAAATTTCAAGATATTTATATCAAATATACATCAAAGGTTCCCAAACTTTACATATCAAAAGCGAAGCGTCCACGCTTCCACTGCGCCACTCTGATCCTTGATACCAACCATTCACACGGAGAACTTTAATACAAACGTTTCCTTCGCCACGAGCCCTGTGGAGGGGAATAAAATATTTTTGGGTTGAACTAGAAGCTCAGCGAGTAACCAGTAAAATCATTAAACAAATATATTTCACAATGTTGCATTTCGATCATTTCGATGATGTCATGATTCAGAGATCAAATGTTCGTTTAGTGCTCTCGTGAGCCAGGGAAATCATAGCACTTGAACACCCAACGCTCAAATAGACCATTTAACATTAACATTAAGAGGGAGCCCCTTTTTGAGCTCCAGATGAACATGAACATAAACAAACGGAGGAGACGTTGGTGTTCAGCACAAGACTCCCCAAGTACTCATTTCAAGCCAAAACATGTCATGAACTCACATGCAAGCACGCATGATATGCAGTCGAGTAAATAATGCAAGAAACATTTCATAAGAAGCTTTAACAATAGTTTGGGGTCACTCACCTCCACGGCTCTGAAACCATCCATCATATAGCATTGCCTTGCTCAAATCCAAGTCTTAGATCACAAACCCAATGCAACAAGTCCCTTCAAAGTTCGGACAGCACTTCCCCTAAATTTGCTAACTTTTCCAGCCATCACGGCTTCATTATATCCTCAGCCAATCCCAAAGGTACACACACAACAACAAATTCATCCAATAGCCATTCAGCAAGCTCCAAGTAGCTAGTACAAGTCAAGCTAGGGAAAAGTCCGGAAATGAAAGTTAAGCTCAAAACCAGAAAAACAGTTTTGACGTCATTTTGCGGTAATGGTTTCAAAGGCGTTACGCTTGTCGGATGGAGGTCCAAGACCCACCGTTTCGAAGCTAAGAACCAGGGCTACAACAATGTAGAAGGTCACTCAGTCCAAATCCCAGCACAACTAAGTCAAATATGCCAAATAACAAACCAGAACCGTAATTGCAGGTTTACAAATTACCCTATGCTGTAATCAGTACAACTCAGTCTAAACAGGTCCAAATGCAGAAATTCCAAAGGCATATGGTAACTAGGACATCAAGCTACATTTCATCAGAAGACCTCAACACCCAAATCCAAAACAATTCCAGTCAAAACAACCCATTACAGGCGCAGTTCTTACATCCTGATGAACCCAGAACAGCAACAGTAAATTCGGTTTATCTCATTCTACACTACTCCAATTGACCTGAAATTTTACAGGCACCCTTAAAACATCAATACCTACAACTTTCATGTTTTGAGACAAGGCCAATTCGGCCTATATCTATGACCTAAAAATTCGGACAGAATGTTC